TGGAAATCCAGTGGTGAACCCGAGGGGGACAGGTCCCGACTTCACAATGCATATAATGTAGTAATGGGGGCAGACCTTAAGTCTATTTTATGATTTTTTTTTTTAAACACACAGCAGAAACGTTATTTTGGATATATTAAGAAAAACAACTGCAAAACTTTATTGCCAAAAAATTCAAAGATCATACCAATGTAAAATTCAGAAGGTAAAATTCACTCTCCCACTCATACGCCCACCACTCATCTGTCAGTTTGTCGTACTGTGCCGGCTGGCAGGTTGCTGTGATGCTGGAAGCTGTGCCACTGGTATTTGAAATACCAGCAGGGTCACCCATGGTGGACAGGTTTCGGTGGAGCTTCCAGACTAAGACAAATTAGGAAGAAGGACCTGGTGGTCTACTTTTGAAACCACTGGGCAGTGAAAACCTAAGGAATAGCAGTGGAACACTGTCTGATACAGTGCCGGAAAATGAGCCCCCCAAGTTGGAAGGAACTCAAAATATGACTGGGGCGGGGCTGCCTCCTCAAAGTAGAGTTGACCTTAATGATGTGGATGGAGTAAAGCTTTAGGGACCTTCATTTGCTGATGTGGCATGACTCAAAATGAGAAGAAACAGCTGCAAACATCCATAAGTAATTGGAATGTGGACTGTACAAAGTATGAATCTAGGAAAATCGGAAGTTGTGAAAAATGAAATGGAACGCTTGCAGGTAGATATCCTAGGCATTAGTGAGCTGAAATGAACTGGTATTGGTCATTTTGAATTGGACAATCATATAGTCTACTATGCCAGGAATGCCAAATTGAATAGGAATGACATCACATTCATTGTCAAAAGAACATTTCATGATCAATCCTGAAGTACAACGCCGTCGGTGACAGGATAATATTCATATGCCTACAAGGAAGACCAGTTAATACAAGGGTTATTGCAATTTATGCACCAACCACTAAAGCCAAAAATGAAGAAACTGAAGATTTTTATCAACTTCTGCAGTCAGAAATAGATCAAGCATGCAATCAAGATGCACTAATAATTGCTGGTGATTGGAATGTGAAAGTTAAAAACAAAGAAGGATCAGTACTTGGAAAATATGGCCATGGTAATAGAAAAAATGCCAGAGATCACATGATAGAATTTCACAACAATGACCTATTCATTAAAAATACCTTTTATAAACAACATAAATGGCGACTATACTCATGGACCTCACCAGGTGGAATGCAAAGGAATCAAATCAACTACATCTGTGGGAAGAGACGATGGAGAAGCTCAATATCATCAGTCAGAACAAGGCCAGGGGCTGACTGCAGAACAGACAATCAACAGCTCATATGCAAGCTCAAGTTGAAGCTGAAGAAAATTAAAACAAGATCACGAGAGCCAAAGTACAACCTTGAGTATATCCCACATGAATTTAGAGACCATCTCAAGAATAGATTTATTTGATGCATTGGACACAAATGGCTGAACACCAGACAAAGTTGTGGGGTGACATCCAGGACAACATACATGAAGAAAGCAATACATCATTAAAAAGACCGGAAAGAAAAGACCAAAAGGGATGTCAGAAGAAATGCTGAAACTTGCTCTTGAATGCAGAGTAGCTAATGCTAATGGAAGAAATGATGAAGTAAAAGAGCTGAACAGAAGATTTCAAAGGGCAGCTCGAGAAGACAAAGTATTACAATGACATCTACAAAGACCTGGAGATAGAAAACCAAAAGGGAAGAACATGCTCAGCATTTCTCAAGCTGAAAGGAATGAAGAAAAAATGCAAGCCTCGAGTTGCAATTTTGAAGGATTCTATGGGCAAAATATGGAACAACATGGGAAACATCAAAAGAAGATGGAAGGAATACAGTCACTGTACCAAAAAGAATTGACCGACATTCAACCATTTCAGGAGGCAGCATATGATTAGAACCGATGGTACTGAAGAAAGAAGTCCAAGCTGCACTGAAAGCACTGGCAAAAAACAAAGCTCCAGGAATTGACGGAATTCAACTGAGATGTTTCAACAAACGGATGCAAGGCTGGAAAGACTCACTTGTCTATGCCAAGAAATTTGGACGACAGCTACCTGGACTGACAGAGATCTGTATTTGTCCCCATTCCAAAGAAAGGTGATCCAAGAGAATGCAGAAATTATAAAACAATATCAATATCACATGCAAGTAAAATTTTGAAGATAATTCAGAAACAGTTGCAGCGGAACATTGACAGGAAACTGCCAGAAATTCAAGCCAGATTCAGAAGAAGACATGGAATGAGAGATATCATTGCTGATGTCACACAGACCTTGGCTGAAAGCAGAGAATACCAGAAATATGTTTACGTGTGTTTTGCTGACTACACAAAGGCATACAACTGTGTGGATCATAACAAATTATAACCATGGCGAAGAAAAGGAATTCCAGAACACTACATTGTGCTCATGCGGAACCTGTGCATAGACCAAGAGGCAGCCATTCAAACAGAACACGGGGATACTTCATGGTTAAAATCAGGAAAGGTGTGCATCCGGGTGGTATTCTTTCACCTTATGTATTCAATCTGTATGCTGAGCAACTAATCTGAGAAGCTGGACTATATGAAGAACAGGGCATCAGGTCTGGAGGAAGACTCATTAACAAACTGTGATATGCAGATGATACAACCTTGCTTGCTGAAAGCGAAGACGACTTTGAAGCACTTATTGATGAAGATCAAAGACTACAGCCTCCAGTATGGATTGTACTTCAAGATAAAACAAAAATCCTCACAACTGGACCAACAAGCAACATCATGATAAACAGAGAAAAGACTGAAGTTGTCAAGGATTTCATTTTACTTGGATCCACAATCAATGCCCATGGAAGCAGCAGTCAATAAATCAAATAGTGTATTGTATTAGGCAAATCTGCTGCAAAAGATCTCTTTAAAGTGTATGAAAAGCAAAGATGTCACTTTGAGAACTAAAGTGCACCTGACCCAAACCATGGTATTTTCAATCTTCTCATATGCATACGAAAGCTGGACAATGAATAAGCAAGATCAAAGAATTGACACCTTTGAATTATGGTGTTGGCGAAGAATACTGAATATACCATGGACTGCCAGAAGAAGGAACAAATCTGTCTTGGATGAAGTACAGCCAGAATGCTCCTTAGAAGCAAGGATGGCGACACTTTGTCTCATGTACTGTGAGCATGTTATCAGGAGGGACCAGTTCCTGGAGACGGACATCATGCTTGGTAGAGTAGAGGGTCAGCAAAAAAGAGGAAGACTCTCAATGAGATGGACTGACACAGTGGCTGCAACAATGGGCTCAAGCATAACGATTGTGAGGATGGTGCAGGATGGGACAGTGTTTTGTTCTGTTGTACACAGGGTCGCTATGAGTCGGAACTGACTCGATAGCGCCTAGTAACAACTTGTATATATCATCTGCTGCCCTTTACTAACTTTTCCACTTAGTTCTTTTTCTCTAGTTTTATTGACTTTAGGAGTTCTTTATATATGAAGAACATTACGCCTTAGTCATAGCTTCTGCAAAACTTTTTCCATGTTGTTGGTTTGCCCCTTGACTTTGTTTATACTTCTTTTTACAAACTTTATTTGTAACCATATTTATTATTCTTTTTTCTTGATGGGTGAGGTGCAGTCTACAAACCTGTCTTCTTTGGTAGGCACAGTTATACATATATATACTACATATAATACATATTATGTATATATATACATATCTATATACGCATAAACACCGGGTGCCATCAAGTTGATTCTGACTCGTGTAGAAGTAGAATTGTGCTTCACAGGGTTTTCAATGGCTGATTTTTCAGACATAGATTGTCAGCCTTTTCTTCCAAGACGCCTCTGGATGGACTCGAACCTACAACCTTTTAGTTAGTAGCTAAGTGTGTTAACTGTCTGTATCACCCAGGGTCTTCTACGTATAAAAAACCCGTTGCTGTCGAGCCAATTCCAACTCATAGCGACCCTATAGGACAGAGCAGAACTGCCCCACAGGGTTTCCAAGGAGCACCTGGTGGATTCAAACTACTCACCATTTGGTTAGTAGCTGAGCTCTTAACCACTACACCATCATGGCTCCCTCTTATATACAGATAGAGAGACAGAAAGGAGCCCTGGTGGCACAGTGGTTAAGCGTTCATCTGCTAACCAGAAGGTTGGCAGTTCGAATCCACCAGCTGCTCCTTGGAAACCCCATGGGGCAGTTCTACTCTGTCTCATAGCGTTGCTATGAATCAGAATCAGCACACAACAAACATGTATATATTTATAAATTAAAAATTTGAATGCCTTTAACTAAGCAAGGCTAAGTACTAACTATCTCATAAATGCATTACTTTATAATTTTAAATTATCTGTTTGGCCCCTTAAGACGAGTTACATACATTTACCAAGAATGTGTAGGTATGGGTGTGTGTGAAGTATTCACTCTAGGACTTTTATGATTTCATTTTGCACCTTTAAGTTTTGGATCCATTTGTCATTTGCTTTGGTGGAGCCAGCCAGCATGACCAAGAGCAGCAATGGGTCTGTTTTTCTGGGCGACAGCACAGGGGAGGGGAGGCATCAACGCCAGTTTGTATGTTTTTTTTAAAAACACTTTTTTCTTCTTTTACACAAGTAATGCAAACCCAGGGGTCACCTACATACTCCCACCACCCGAAACAACCACCCTTTAATTGTGATGTATTTCCTGCGAGAATTTTTTTTCTTAAAACATAGGTTTTTGTTTTAGAAACCTGCTTTTTGTCTATTTGATTTCTTTAACATGTGACAATACTTTATAACTGCTAACACTGAATGTTTTAACCTAGCAGTTCCTAAACGTGGCTGGGCAGCTGGCTTCCCAGTGGAGCTTGTTAAAAATAACGAATCAGCAACCCTAGGGGGCAGGATCTGAGAACCTGTATTTTTTAACAGGTTCCACAAGGCGTTTGGTGCACAGCAAGGTCAACCTAAGCGACCCTCCAGCCTCCAGCCGTACCTGTGATGGTCTGGGTTTCCGAAGTGATGGTTCTGGTGGTGGTCTGCGTCTGGGTGGCAGGCACTGTTTCCTCTGATACAAACTGGACTGTGCTGGGGGTCGCCCCGGGCGTGCCGGTCAGCTGGCAGCCACTTTGCTTGTGAGCTACAAAGGCATCCAGGTTGTTAAACTGTTGCTTGCAGATGCCACAGATGTGGATGTCAGGAGTCAGCTCAACCAGCACCGTTGTGCCACCTGGAACTCCATGGGACAAAAGAAAGTCACAGATCAACTCCAAATAGCTTTACATTACAATGCAAACCAGATTCCACAGGAGGAAAAAATGGCATAGTGGTGGAGGCCCTGGATGGCTCAAACAGTTAAGTGCTCCTCTACTAACTAAAAAGCTAGTGGTTCAGACCCACCCAGAGGTGCCTTGGAAGAAAGGCCTGGTGATCTGCTTCCAAAAGGTCATGGCCTTGAATTCTGACACACGACTTGATGGTTGGTTTAGTTAGGCAGCAGTCATGGCTAGCTCCTGGACCAGTGTCCATTCTGCTCCTCTCTTCTTCCTTGCAAAACCAATACCAAACCAAACCCATTGCTGTCAAGTCAACTCCAACTCATAGTGACCCTATAGGACATGACAGGACTGCCCCATAGGGTTTCCAAGGCTGTACACCTTTATGGAAGCAGACTGCCACATCCTTCTCCTGTGGAGCAGCTGATGGGTTTGAACTGCTGACCTTTCAGTTAGCAGTTGAATGCTTAACCACTGTCCCACCAGGCTCCTCTCTTCCTTGCAAACGGAATCTCAGTTCTGTCCTAGCAGCAATGTACCCAGACCCAAGTGATGGTCCATGATGCACTGCTGGCCATTTGGGTAGGAAAGTTCTTTGGTGTGTGGGGCTGCCTGTACTTTGCAGGACCAGCAGCCATCTCCTACCCCAACTAAAAGCTAGTTGTAGCTCCCAGTTACTGTGGAAACCAATCCTTCCACATTTCTAAATACTCCCCCATATGAAGAACCACTAGTCTAAATAATCTTGGTCCCCTAAATTCTTGGGAACCCCTCCAGCACGGTGCTGGAAGAACTTCTGGGAAAATTTTGGCTTTCCTGAAAAAAAAAAGGGAGCAGATTTGGCTGGTACTAGTACCTGTTCCCCTCTTCTTTTGATCTTGAATACAGATGTGATACCAGGGGCTTCTGCAGCCATCTTGTAACTATGAGGAAAATGCTAAAATCCCATCAGAAGTGTGGGCCCTTACTTCACTGATTCCATGCAACAACCCTGGAATCATCTACTTCCAGATTTCTTGTTAGGCCACGACATTTTAGTTTTTTGTTACTTGTAGCCAAAATTCATTCCTACAGATAGGGACATTATTTCATGCTAACAGTGCTACTAAGAGTTAATACCATCTTAATATTTGCAAAGCACTTAGTACAGTATCTGGCACCACCTTAGAAAGTGCTATAAAAATGTTTGTTAAAAAAAATAAATACAACTAATTAATAAATCTCGAAATAATGACTACTTAAGTTTTTAGGTTTTTAATTCCTTGCCTTATTATAAGATAACTCATGTTTATAACAGAAAATTTTGAAGAAAAGAAACATATAAAGAACCAGGCAGAAAATCACTAACAATCTTTCCACCTATGCCTACCATAAACATTACAAAATACTTCCATTTTCTTTACGCTTAAAAAGTTGCATAAGAGCGTGAGGTATTGTAAAATTAATCCTTTTTTCACATATCACATAAGCATCGTTCTATATCATTAAGAGCTCTTTATAAATATAATTAAGAGGACCTAGCAGTGCAATGCTTAAGTGCTCAGCTGCTAATCCAAAGGTTAGCAGTTCGAACTCACCAGTTGCTCCATGGGAGAAAAGACCTGGCAATCTGCTCCTGTAAAGGTTACAGCCCAGGAAACTCTCCAGGGCAGTTCTACTATGTCACGTAGGGTCGCTATGAGTGGGAATCAATGGAACATAACAGCAGCATAAATAATTCAATGGCAACACATTATTCCATGGTACACGTGTGTCATCATCTTCTGAACAAGTATATAGTATTGATGTTATTTCCAATTTTCCCTAAGTCTAAATAAAATGAGAAGCATCTTTGTGCATAGGTGGTTGTTGTCCAAGCATCATACTTTTCTTAACAATTGTAAGATATTTACCTTCTATCCAATTTTCCCCAGGTCAGAGACAAGAAATCTCTGTGCAGAAGTACACTGCTAAGGAGAGCTCCTCAGGGCTGGGGCAGAGTGTTCTACAAGCCGCCTTGCAGAGTGCCACGTGCACTCTGTTGTTGTTAGGCACCGGCCAGTCGGTTCCGACTCACAGCAACCCTACGTACAACAGAACGAACCACTGCCCTGTCCTGCGCCTCCTCGCAATGGTTGCTGTGTTTGCACTTAAGTTCTTTGAAACCAATGGACACAAGAAACGAAGGCTTTTCTTCTCTGGGGAGCACCCCGCCCAGTAGCTGCTGAGGTACCCATGGGCCTAAGAGGAAAACAAGGAGCTGAGCGATGAGGGGACTTGCATCATTGACGATTTCTTAACGACAGACGGGACTGATATCCAGGCCCAATTTCTCACTGGGACCTAAGAGGGTTTTAATAACAAATGATGTTCCCAGTATGGTGGAAAGTGCACAAGTAATGACCTTGACTTGCACTGGAGTCCTGACTGACACTTAGTAACAAGTGACTTGGACTTGGGTTTCCTCATCCACAAAATGGGGAGAAGGGAAGCTCCTACTTCACAGGGTTGTTGTGAGGATTAAATGAGATGTTGCTTACAAGAGGCCAGCTCAGGGGCCCCCACAGGGTTACGTGGTTATTACTGAAGTAACTTTTTGACTTTGAAAGCATCCCCGGCTGAAAATTTGGAATGATAAAAGATCCCTACCCTATGGGCTTGTGGTGAGAATTAACTGAGACCAAATTTAAAAAGGGGGCACGGGGAAGTGCCCACCACCCCCACTTCCTTTATCTGTCATAAGGTTCTCCAACCCTGTTTCAGCCTCAGAATGACCTGAGGGCGTAGAGGGGAGAGGGAGGGAGGGGGTTGTTAAACAAGCAGGTATCTGAGCCCTATTTCGGAGATACTGAGTCATAATGGGGGTAGGGCGGGGAGGTGGGGTTTGAGGAAATCTGTACTTCTCACAAGTCATATAAGCAATACCCAGCCAAGTTTGGGAGCCAATGTCTCCACAACTGTTAACAGTAGCAGCTCACAAGCTGAGTGCTTACTATGTACCAGGTGGCTGCAAACCCCTCTGCCGGGGGTTCTCAAAATTTATGTGCTTCAGAATTGCTCAGGCAGCTGGAGGAGGACGGCCGATTCCCGGGCCCCACCCCAGAGAGCTTCCGAGTGGGGCGGGGAAGCTTTCCTCAGTCAGCGCTTGTGCTCTCAGGTGGCTGGTGGGCGCTCGGCCTCTGGACCACACTTTGGGAAACAATGCACCGGGCGAAACCAGGGGCATAAGGCTGCTGCCCTCACAGGAAATGAAAAACGAACCCCAAACTCAAAGAAAGCGACCACGGCCCAGTTTTCCATTCAGAGCCCCACTTTTAAGGTGGAAAAGGCTTTGCAATGAGCCAGTCAGTCCTCATGAAAACCCTCCAATCCCAGGTTCCAAGGATTTCGAGCCAGCGAGGCAGAAGTTTTCCCATCAGCGTTGTCCCGGTTACCCGAAATTCCACCCCCACCCCCAAACTCCGCCTGGGGGGCGGGGAATGCCCCGAGGGGGTGGCGATTGTCTCAACAGCATTCCCCCCCACCGCTCCTCTGCAAGGGGTCTTGCCAGGCTGTAGAGCGCCCTCCACCTGACGCTGGGTTGGGTGCGCCCACCCCAAGCACCCTCCGGCGCCCCCTGCGCCGCGCGCCCGCCGCGGTCCCCGAGAACCGGCTCGTAGCCGTCACCCCGATTTCGGGGCCCCGGGCCTCCTGGCTGCGGCGCAGACGTGCTTGGGCCCGGGCCTTGGAGCGCGCACTGGGCCCCGGAGCGCGCGCTCGCCGGAAAAGCACTTACTTTGCACGGAGCCCGGGAACCCCTCGGCCTCGCTGCTCGCGTTCATGGCCGCAGATGGGGAGCCCGGGACGGCCGGGACGCCGATGCGGGGCGCGGAGTTACATGATGCGAGGACTTTTCCTTTTATTTTTCCACCCCCCCGGCGGCCTTCTCCCAGCTCCGCGAGGCTGGGAGGACGGATGTAAAGCCGGCGCCACTTCCGCTGCCTAGAGGGCGCTGGCCGCGCCGCCCAGCTAGCTTGCAGCGGTGCTCCCCTGGGAGCGCGGGGAGACCCGAGGCCGGGCACAAGGCCCCGGGGACCTGATGGTGAGCACGCGCCCCGGAAGCTTCGGGGACCCCGGGCGGCGAGGGGCGCGCCCCGCCCGCACTCCCGCGGGGCCTCCCGGGCTCGGCCGCCCGTGCACCTGCAGCCCTGAGCTTCGGGCGGCCCCCGGGCCGCCTCGCTGGTTTGCAAAGAGACCGCGTCCGGGTGCAGTTGGGGGTGGGGGGTGCAGGAGCGCTGCCGACCTGGGAGAAACTCCCGCTGAGCGGCCGCACGCGGCTGCTCTCCTGCTCAGATAGGGAGATAGGGAAATAGAGGACCATACTGATGTGCAAGATAAGAGTACCAACTGTGATCACAACGCTAAAGAGCCCCCCGCTCCGCCACTCTGGAGACTTTCCAACTTTATTGTGCACCAAGATCACCTGGAGGCTCATTAGAACACGGACTGCCGCTGCCCCCCACCCCCGAGTTTCTGATTCAGTAGTCTGGGATGGGGCCCGAGAATTTGCATTTCGAAGTTCAGTGGTGAGGGGCCCTGAAGCTGGTCGGTGTTCACACTCGGAGAACACTGCTCTCTTTGATCTGTCCCCGCTCACCTACCTTCTGCTTCAGCCCCATGAATCTCTGCTGACCGCCCAACGGACCAGCATGTTCCCACCTCAAGGCTTTTGTTGCCTCTGCCCAGATAGCCAGCTGCCACCCTCCCTAAAGCCTTCAGGACTTGATTCAAACTCCCCTTCTCGGGAGACGTCCTTGGCCAGCCTATTTTAATATTGCAACTCCCTATCTCCCCACCCACCCACTCCCAATCTCCCTCCAGAATGCTATATCTTTTTACTGCTTATTACATCTAACATGTATCTGTATCTATATGTAGATCTCTATCTACCCATACCACCCACCCCCCCAAAAAAGTTGTTGCCTTAGAGCCCATTCTGATTCATGGTGACCCCATGTTTTACAGAGTAGAACGGCTTCCTAGGTTTTTCTTGGCTGTAATTTTTAGGAAGCAAATCGTCAGGCCTTTCTCTTCACAGTACTGCTGGGTGGGTTCGAACCGCCAACCTTTCTTTCGGTTAGCAGTCAAGTGCAAACAGTTTGTTCCACCCAGAGATTGTCATCTACCCAGATGTTCTTCTTAGGTGCGGTCGAGTCGGTTCCAATTCATATCGACCTTATGTCCAATGGAATGAAACACTGCCCTGTCTGGTCCCACCCTCATAATCGTTATGCTTGAGCTCATTGTTGCAGCCACTGGGTCAGTCCATCTCGCTGAGGGTCTTCTTCTTTTTCGCTGACCCTCTGCTTTACCAAGCATGATGTCCTTCTCCAGGGACTGATCCCTCCTGATAACATGTCCAAAGTATGTGAGAGGAAGTGTCACCATCCTTCCTTCTAGGGAGCATTCTGGTACTTCTTCCAACACAGTTTTGTTTGTTCTTCTGGCAGTCCATAGTACATTCAGTATTCTTTTTTTTAATTTTATTTTATTGTACTTCAGGTGACGGCTTACAGAACAAATAGTTTCTCATGAAACAGTAGTATACATGTTGTTTTATGACATTGGTTAACAACCCTACAACATATCAACCCTCTA